GAGCCGGCGGCGGCGGCGCCGAGAGCACCAGGCAAACTTTCACTTTCCCCAGCCGGCTCCGCCGGCCAGCTCCTCGGCACAGCCTTTTAAGCGACTTAGGCATGTGGTTTATGGGAAATTACGTTGGACAGGCGCCAGACACACACACACACACACACAGGCGCGCAACACACACTCCAGAGGCCCACTGAGCCGCCTCCCCGCCCCCACCCTCGGGCTGGGCTTCCCCGCCCGTCTTGCAGTCGCCTCTTCTGCAGCTCAACTCCGCGCGCCCTCCAGCCCGCCACCGCCGCGCCGCTGGGGAAAGAGGTTTCCTTCCTTCCGCGCTCTCCAGGCGGATCCGGTGAGCTCGCTCTCTTTCTAACATTCCTCTCAAGGGACTTTCCCCTTAGGCCTGAAAATTCCCAAATCGGAGCCGGAATGGGCTGAGAGCAGGGCAAACACTAAGGCGGGGCCTCCCGGGCTGTGCAGGACGCGGCACCTGGTGGAGCCGGAGTCAGCAGGTTTGCAGGCAGCCCCCTCCTGCCTAGGAGCCCCCAAGCGGCCCACCCCTCTTCTTGCCTCCAATTCTGGGGGCAGGGGGTAGAGGCCAGAGGCTGGCTACCTAGCCAGGAGGGGAGGGACTGCGTCCCGGGACTGGGACCTGGGAGTTCTGCGGTGTGCCAGGAGGCACTCCTGCACTTGACCTGCGGGCTGTGTACATGCTGGCTGGTACCCTGCTCCCTCCTGGCTGCCAAAACCCGGAGCGATTGGCACCTGGGTCCTAGATTCCCCTTGGTGTTTTTGGAAATGCATTTACTGAGAAAATGAAATCACATTTTGTCTCAACACAGAATGACTCTGAGCAGAATCTAACAAGATGCGTCTATGAATTACAATGCCAACTCCAGCTCTTCCTTTCTTCAATTCACTATGATTCAATGTTTCAATCCCACCGTGAGGCCACCCACCCACCCACCCCTGGGAAATATGATAGGTGGCTGGTCCCAAAGAGGCATCTCTTGTCACTTGCTCCGGCCTCAGGCATGGGTTTTACACCTGCATGCCCTTGCTGGGACTGGCCTCTCTGCTTGGACCGACCCCACCTGTCTTCAAGGCAAAGTCCCCGTCCTCAAGGCTGAAACCACACCACATCCTCCACCAGCCACGCCTCCATCCACTCTCCTGGCAGATCAACGGTTCCTTTTCCTGTGTTCCCACTGGACTTGGCTCCTTCCTCCCTCGGGGCTCTCACAAGCTGTTTGCCATTTCGTGGATTGACTCATTCTCTGCATTATTCTAAAAAGTATTAAAGTGGTACTGACAGTCATGTTCTGCCCCCACTCTGGACTGAGTCTTCCTTCAGGCTGGTCCCATGTTCAGTTATCTCCCCATCAACAGTGTCTAGCACACAGTGGGTACCCAATGAATAGCAACCAAGTGGGATGAGGCCATTAGGGAATCATTCATTCACTCGGCAAACGTGCACCCTGTGATGACTGTATGTGGCAGGCACTGTGCTCGTCCTGGGGATATGGTAATGGACAGGCCGACGTGGTCCTTGCTTTCATGGGCTTGGGAGCAGTCAGAGCTAAGAGCCCTGAGGAAGGAGGTTGAGGGCTTACTCCCCCTTCTCACCCCCCCAACCCCGCCGTCTTTGTCAAGTGCTCCCTGTCCAATAATAATGTAAGATAACGGGTCAACACCACAGTTCTTAGGACTGATAAGCGGCTACAGGAAGTACAGAAATGTGTCAAGATAAACCTCTTGGAAAGGAGTCAAATGTTACCTGCTTCCTCCTTCACCAACTCAACCCTGCCCCAGACTCAGCAAGGGACAGACAGCTCTGTGTCTGCAAGGCAGCCTTCCTGTCACCCAAGCCGTGGGTCCCATTCCCCCAGCTGAAATTCTTCACCTACCCAGGCCTGGACCCGGACTCCACAAGCTGTCTGACCTGGACCCCTCTGTCATTTGCTGTGTGACTTTGGACAAACGTCTCTCAACCTCAGTGTCTCCTTCATCTGTGAAATGTAGACATTAATTTCTCTTTCTTACCAAAGTGTTCAGGGATGAGTAGGGCGATGCCTGAGGTGTTCAGCACAGAATCTGAAGTGCTACTCTTCTTCTTTTTTAAAAAATATATTCTTATTGATTTCATAGAGGAAGGGAGAGGGAGGAAGAGAGGGAGAGGGAGAGAAAGAGGGAGAGGGAGAGGGGGAGAAAGAGAGAGAGAGAGACTTCAATGATGAGAGAGAATCATTGATGGGCTGCCTCCTGCATGACCCACGCTTGTGGATTGAGCCCATAACCCAGGCATGTGCCCTGACCGGGAATCGAACCGTGACCTCCTGGTTCATAGGTTGACACTCAATCCCTGAGCCACACCAGCCAGGCTATTCTTATTCTTATTATCTTATTATTATTACCTGTCCACTCGCATGAGTCTTAAGCTGTGACACAGCCTGGGGCCGTGGATTTGGGAGTCCCAAAGTCACACGTAGTCCCAGCTCTGCTGCTCGTTTGCTGTACAACTTTGGACAAAGCCCCTCATCCTCCTGAGCCCTCTTTTCTTCATTTGTCCAATGGCCATGATAAGCTCTTTTTCCAAGATGGTGGTGAGGTCACACAGCTGACATCTGGGGTCTCCAGGGCAACGAGCAGCACAGAAGTGCTTGGTCAGGAAAGAAGCTGTGGACGCCGGAGCTGCAGAGAGGAGACAGGGCCCTGGATAACTTGACCCCACGGTGGGACTCATCTCTGGGGAAAGTCCGGCCCTGCCAAGGCAACCGCAGGAGGGACTCAGAATTCAACAAATCTAGGCGCTTCTTTCACAGCAACATAATTTTGAAGTTGATCATTTTGAATGGCCCGAGAATGATGTTATAAATATGCAAGTGGCTCTTGGCAGCAAAAAGGTTCCCCGCCCCTGCTGTACAAAGGGAATTAGTGGATCTGCCTGACCTCAGACCAGCAAACAAGGGCACACTGAGCCTGGAAATGCTGGTGGCCAGCTCCTGGGCGCCCCTGCGCAGCATCTCTGACAGACTCCTGCCTCCTGCCCCCGGCTGGTGGGCTGGGAGGCCTGGGGCGGGCAGGTTCCAGCTGGATCTCAGGGCCAAGCCAGCGGGATGGTGGCCCTGCACGGGGCTCCGTAGCTGTTCTTAGCCGCACAAGCTTGCATGTGCCCATCTGTGGGCAGGGAGTGTGGGAACCCCGGAACTAGAGCTTTTGCACCCCTTTGCTGGGATAAGCGAATGGAGGCCCAGACAGGTGAAGCCCCCTCTGCTGGAGTCACGCATGACTTGGCACAGGCCTGGGTGGGCCCCTCCCTGCGCTCTCCCTGGTCGGCTGAGCGGCTGTGCTCTGCTGACTCCCGCTGGAGTCATGTCCGGAGCTGGGTCCTGGGGGAGGCACGGAGGAATCTGGAACAATCGGAGATTTGGAGATTCAGTGATTTCCTAATGCCGCCTCATCAGGAAGGGAGCGCTCAGCTGCCACGGAGGAGGGCAGAAGGGAGGACCGGAGGGCCCGCTTGTCAGAGGAATGAACCAAGGGCAGAGGAGAGAGGTCCGAGAGAGAAATGGAGATGGATGGCAGGAAGTGGGAGGAAGCCTCATTTGCTGGTTGTCGAAATGTCATCTCCTTGAAATTATTTGACAGGCCATTTCCCCTGAGATCTACAGGGAGTTGAGTTCTGTCACAAAGGGCTTGTTCCTTTTCTTTTTTCTTTCTTTTCTTTTCCCTTTATCCCCCTCCTTCTCTCTCTATTTCTTCGCACTTCTGCTCCCTTTCTCCCTTCCCTCCCTCCTTTCCTCTCTATTCCATGAAAGTGGCCCATGGCTCTTTGGGAAGTGGCCTGGGGTGGACCCCAGCAGCCTTAGAGGACTTGCAGCTGTCCTTGTCCCGTGTTCGCGGCAGGGCGCTGCAGAGAGAGTCAGGGCGTGCCGAGCCCCCACCTCGCCATCCCATCCTGCCTGGATGGTGGCAAAGCAGCTTCTTTTTTTGTTGTTAAGTCTCACCTAAGGATATTTTCCATTCATTTTTAGAAAGAGTGGAAGGGTGAGAGACACAGAGAGAGAAACATCGATGTGAGAGAGACACATCGATTGGTTGCCTCCTGCATGCACTCCAACCGGGGGCCGGGGATTGAGCCTGCAACCGAGGTACTAGTATGTGCCCTTGGCCAGAATTGAACCCAGGACCCTTCAATCCGTGGGCTGACACTTGGACTGGCTTTATAAATTAAATGGAAAGGTAGCTCCCAGCCAGCTGGCTACACTCTACCCATTGAGCCAAACTGGCTAGGGCTGGACTGGCTTTCTAAATTAAATGGAAAGGTAGCTCCCAGCCAGCTGGCTTCGCAGGGCTGCCATGAAGGCCTCGTGTTTGGAGAAGCACCAGGTAGATGTGGAGACCACCCTTCCCCTGGCGGGAGGAGCCAGCTGCCCCTCTCTCTGCCGCTGCAGAAACACCTGTGCTGGTTTTCGGGCCTGTCCTCCGCCCCGAGCTCTCTGCCACCATCAGGCAGATGTCTCCTGTCCGGGGTGGCTCTCAGGAACCTCTCAGAGCTGAGCACTGACCCAAACTATCGTGACGTCACTTATCCACATGAATTTTGGCTTCCCCAGTGGCGTCCCTGTCCCCTGGAGTCACGACCCCTGAGCTGAGGACCCTTCTGAAATGAAAGTCTGTTCCAACCGCATCAGAAAAAGAGAACCGCCAAGAGGATGCTGTGCCTGCTGGTGTCTACGCGGGCCCACTTCCTGTCTGTGGCCTTGCGTGACTTCGGAGCAAATGAGGCAGAGAATTACCTGGAAACCGGAAGGAAAAGCCTGTGCCACAGTCATCGTCATGGACGCAGCAAACCGAGTCCCTGCTGCGCACTGGCCCGGTGCTCCCAGCCCTCTGAGCTCTAGGCCGCCGGAGACTGGCATGGCAGGGACGGTCCAACACGAGGCCTGGGTGTGAGGATGGGGACATGTCTGGGTGCCCGGGGCAGAGTCCCCTGGCTGCTGGAAGTCACTGAGGAAGCCATAAACCCGGAGCAGTGAGCCTGGGAGGTAGAAGGGTTCAGGCCCCAGGCACAGTTGGGGGACCCGTCTTTCTTCCGCCTCATGCGATTTAAGGCTATTCCTGGCCTGTTGTTTGCTCGGTTGCCAATGGGAAGACCAAAAAAAGGCTTCCTCACTGAGCACCAGGCTGGGCAGGGTGGGGAGAGGAGGCTTTGCAGGGGGACCTGTGGGGGAGGGGAGGGGAGGCCCCAGGGACAACCCCTCCAGCTTACAGCATTCGCTGCCTGAGCCCCTGGCCAGGTCCCGGCCCAGCCCCAGGCCCCCAGCCAGGTGGCAAAGCCCCTTTCCCTCCGCTGGTGCTGGGCACTCTCCCCAGGGGGTAGGAAGTGTCATCTCCAAGGCCACGCTGCTTGGGTGACATCCCTTCTCTGCCTCCTACTAGCTCTGTGACCCTGGGTAAGTTACTTCACCTTCCCGTGCCTCGGTTTCCCCATCTGTAAAATGGGGATAACAATGGCACCGTTCTCATAGGGCTTCTGTAAAGCTGAGTTGTAAAATGCTTAGAACCTGGAGTTAGGCGAGCTCTGTAGGAGGTGGCGCCATCATTGTTAAGGAGCTGGTGAGGCCGGAGGGCACTGCACCTGCTGTCTGCTCCGTGCCCCAGGCTCAGTTCAAAGAAGACTCCAGCTGCTGTGCTAATGAATGCCTCCAGGGCAGTGCCCAGCCAGGGAGCAGTGGGGGGAGGCGGGGGCACAGGGCCAAGGCTGCTTCCTCTCCTGCTGTGAATGTTCCTCAGGATCCTGGGGTGGGGGAGGCTTGATCCTGGGCCAGAGAGATGGACGGGGCCTGTGCTCACGCTCCCTCAGAGCACTGGCGATGCTGACAGGAGCAGAAAGGCACTGTTCCTAGGAAGCTTCCTCCCTCCCCCTAACCAGAGGGCCCACATAGCTGCCATTCATCAGAAAGCCTCCCACTGGGAGCCCCGCACAGCTCCCGCCCCTCATGTCCAGCTCCTGGAGCTGCGGGCAGAGCAGGCTGGCCATCAGGCCTGGAGTGTCCTCCCCTCTCCTTCCACGGGCAGGAGTCAGGAGTGGGGGGCGGAGACCTGGCAGGGACACGGTGTGACAGGAGGGCTCTTAGATGAGAACTCAGATGAGGAATTCCCAGAATTCAATTCCTTCTACGAGGCTTCAATGCCCACCTCTGTGTTAGAAGCTGGGAGAGGCCCAAACGAGATGATCTGGCCTCCACAGGGTGCAGCAGGAGGAACACGGATTGGCTTCAGCTCAAATCTTGAATTAATCCTCTGGGGGAGGGG